TTCTGCAAATGAATCTTTTTAGATATTTTTACAAGTCGGCAAGTCAATTGAACCGAAAACCTCTCACATAGCAGTTAGGATCATACACAAAATCAAGAGGCCCGTCGTAACATGCATAGAAGCTTCTTAAAAAGTTGGTCGCTTAAAAAGTAGAATGTTTTAATGATAACAGCGTTGAAAAACCTTTTTTATTAAAGCTGTAATATACGAGGGGAGGTCCAAAAGTTTGTGGAATGGAGGGGATAGGGGCCATCGTATAGTGTCTTACTAATTGTTTACAAGTGGCATGGTCTTTTTAAACATGGTCGGGCGTCGATTGAAGACGACCCCCGCTCAGGAAGGCCAGTTGAGGCGACCACATCAGACATCGTCGAAAAAGTAGAAAAAATTGTACTCAAAGACACCCGTTTAAAGAAAAAACAGAAACCTACATGACCACCTGGGTATGACAAAAGTCAGTTGAAGATGGGTACCGAGAATGCTCACGCCGCTTCAGAAACAACAGCGCGGCGATGCGTCAAAACAATTTTTGGAGTTGTGTGGAGACGAACCTACACAGATTTTGGAGCGGATTGTTACCGGAGATGAAACATGGGTTCATCATTTTGAGCCTGAGTCCAAACAAGAGTCCATGCAATGGCATAAAAAAGGTACACCACCGCCAAAGAAATTCAAAGTGTCGGAGTCGGCTGGAAAGTTGATGGCTACTGTTTTTTGGGATTGTGAGGGGATAATACTCATTGATTACAAAGAAAAGGGAAGGACCATAACCAGAGAAATCTACGCAACGATACTAGAGAAATTAAAGGAGGCCATCAGAGAAAAACGTCGAGGAAAATTTACCAAGGGCGTGTTGCTCTTGCAAGATAACGTGCCGGTTCACAAGAGCAGAGTTGCAATGGCTGCTCTGCATAAAAAATGGCTTCGAAACACTGGTTCACCCACCCTACAGTCCAGATCTGACCCCAAGTGATATTTATTTGTTCCCAGTTTAAAAAAAGACTTAAAGTGAAGGAAATTATCCGACGACAATGAGGTAAAGGAGGCAACTTTAGCTCATTTTGAGGCAAAAGATAGAAAATATTTTACGATGGTTTAGAAAAAATAATTCATAGATCTAATAAATGTATTCAGCTTAAGGGTGATTATATTGAAAAGGAAAAATAGATTTATTTATAACTTTATTTAAAACCTTTTCGTTCCACGAACTTTTGGACCTCCCCTCGTAGTACTGTCGTTCTATTTGGATAGCCTATGAGCTAGTTTAAAAAAGAAAAGTTTTTTTTTGACGAAATACATGGAATCTTTTTTTCTTAATTTTATCTGTAACGACACTCGTTCGGTGAAAAACAACGAAAAAAATTCAAACATCGGTTTTCTGTAAGCCGGTCAGCAGTCTGTCGAGTAACCAGTCAGTCACGTATATCTCATTCAATATGTTAAAATAAAGGCCGAAGAAAATTAATTTACCGCTTTGAAATTACCAATCAAATTAAAACTCGCGATTATTTCACGTCGGAAATGTTAAGTTGGTTTGATAGTGGATAAAATTGAAATTTAATTAATTTTATGCGATTGTGTCCGATGAATGATAACAAATTAGGTTATTTGAATTGTGCTACAGTGATAGCAAATAAGTTATTCGTATGTTTAAAATAAATCGATGGTGGTTCGATTCCCACCCACGACAAATAATTGTGTGATGAGAACGGTCATTTGTTCTATATCTGGGTGTACTTTATCTATAACTAGCTAACCCGGCGAACTCTGTTCCGCCTTAAAGGCAATAAATAAGCCGATTTTCGAATTTAGTAAGTTAATTTTTTTCTTAGATAAAATCTTCCGTCTTTGAAAATTCTTCGATGAAGCATTCCAAGTATAATAACGTGGCATCTCCTAGTAAAGCAAAGTTCGTACATACTTTTTTTTTTTCGGAATAAATAGTATCCTATGTCCGTCTCCTGGCTCTAAGCTACCTCCTCACCAATTTTCAGCCATATCGGTAAAGCCGTTCTTGAGTTATAAATAGTGTAACTAACACGACTTTCTTTTATATATATAGATATGTATTTAGAAATATATAAGTATGTTTATCAGAAGACTGGTTACCATGGTACAGGCTCTGCCTAGTTTGGGATAAGACAGCCGTGGGTAAGATGTGTGAAAAATATTATTATATAAATAAATAAATTCTGATAACATACGGGTTTAGATTATACAGATAAAATACCCGTTACATTTTCTCGTAACTTAACCAGTTTGTAATTAAGAAGACGTTGGATCTAAATCCTATAGCCTTCTGCAGCAAAAATCGAGAGCATAGTTACAGTTAAGGCGTAAAACCAAAACATCACTAGATTATAAGACAATGTGTCTCACTTGCCCCCCATAAGCTCAGTATTAGTAAGTATAAATAATAAAATAGAGTTGGGAATATTTGTATTACTTCGGTAAGTACATATAAATTTTAATAGAAATCTCTAGACCTCCGTGAGTATGCTGACATTTGTAAAACGTCACTTAATATGGTCACTTTTCTTTTATTACAAGCTTTTATTGTAATGATTATAGGTAGTAGCTAGTAGTTGAGTTTTTGTAGAAATGTTTAAATTAATTAGACGATTAATACGAGAATATTAAGGAAAAGATTTAAAATCAAGTAAAATTACTATTTTATTGAACAGGAGATAAGAATAATATTGTCGTTTACCGACTATAAACAGAAATATCATATGTAATTCTAGAAAGAATCATCATCAATTTTGTAAAATAACTGTTAATACCAGAGTCATAAGGATATACAAGAAAGAGAATAGGGAAAAAAAACCTCGAACAAAATATCATCATCAATCATCAACAGCCTATACTAGTCCACTGCTGGACATAGGCCTCTCCTTAGAAAGGAGGTTTTGGCGAACAAAATATAACAATCAAAAAATAAAACAAAAACTATCGAAGACGATATTTCTAAATTCAACGATTCTTAACAATTCTGATTTAATGAAATGAAAAAAAAAACGAAAACAAATAATAAAAACCCCATAAAATTCTGTAGTGCGCCCACTACAGCTGATGAAAATAACTTCAGAGATAAAAAACAAATCTAGAGCAATGAATGATGATGAAAAACACACTTATAAGAATCTACATAGCACTAGAGAATCGATTATTATGGATGGTTAACAAGCGATAGGCCTACTATCTAAACCCACCATTTACAAGCTCTTCTTCGCAATAATAAATAAGAGAATATACTCTACACTAGAACCGCATCACCCTCTGGAAGAAACAAGATTTAGACAAGGATATTAACGATTTCATCACATATATATGATAGAACTACTCACTGCAAAATACCGAGAACAATTGACCACTATACGCTGCATATGTTGATCACAAAAAGCATTTGACCGCTTATCACATAGAATCTCATTAGATTCTATGTGCAGAGTTTACCATTGTAAACTCTAATAATGATTTGTGTTATAAAGAATATCTACAATAACAGCAAGATTAAGATCAAAGAACCCTGCCTAAGCCACGTATCAGATTCGAAAAATACTTGGTGCTTTTATCAGAAACTGGACCTCAAATTCGGTACATGATAGTGTCACTACACTAAACTAGTAGGTTTAGAAAATAACTTATGTAAAGCAATGTTGATAACGAACAACACGAAGAGAACACTATATATTGGTAGCGAAGCTCTCAAGTATACAAACAACTACATACACCTGGGCAAACAAATTGGCTTTGAACAGAATAGTAACGATCAAGTGGAGCGCAGGACGGTTAACGTGGCACAACTATTGAGCACTGAAGAACATTTTCAAAGCAGAAGGCCAATTAAAATGAAAACTAAGGTACCGAACTCGCGCCTTATGGCGTGCCTAAGATTTGCTGGTCTAAAACGTGGAAATTCAGCAACAAAACAATGGCAAGGGATGGATTGGTACGAGTTCAATCATTAAAATAGAAGCGGGCCGGACATGAAGCACGCCTACGAGATCAGAGAGGGACCAAAGGATGATGAGGTAAACAAGACAGAAAAGGAAAGGTAGACGTGTAACTAATTCGGAAGATGAACAGAAAAACAGCGGGCCCTAACTAGATTTATGTATCTTTTGAGGAGGTCTTTATCCGTAGAGGGGTTCTTACAGAGACGTAAATAAAACAATTTAATTATTACGATCAATTAAAATTTGTGTAAAATCTAAACTAGAGACCAAGATAATTGCCAACAAAAACACACACACACACACACACACAATAGAAAAAATAAAAAAATAGTTCTTGGACGCCTTCAAAACAGACCAATCACACAATACATTTTTAGCTGATGTGTTCTATATTTAAACTATTTTAACGAAAAAATAATAAAATATAAATTTAAACCAAAGACTTCCCTTGTGAGAGCCCTTAATTTTTTTAATCCGGCCGAACGGGCACTCACTTAGCACGAAATTTGAAAGGTAAGGTTTTATCGTTCATAAAACCGGCTGAACTCTCCTACTCATAAACTACCTCCCTATCATTGTAGATCAAGTAGGTTTTCAAATTTCGTGCTAAGTGAGTAGTTTAGTAAGAAGAGAAGTAACATATACATCTACCTCATTATACACAGTATAGGTAAATAAAAGATTATCAGGAAAGAATTATTCAAATACACAACTGCAATATTTACAGTTTCGTTAAAACATATACAATATTATTAGGTCTGTTGCGATATTATCCATACTATAAGGAATATTTTTATTTAATAAACTATGGATTTTGTTAGGTCAGGTAACAATTAAATGTCCAAGATAACAATGTACGCATTCGCGCAATATATCATCTGGTCATTAATCAATAATTATAATTTAACTGTGCATAATTTTTATTGCCTCGTTTTAACGATATCAAATAAATCGATGTTCAATTTACTTACTGGAACAGCTGTAATTTTAACAACGTCAACATTTCCTAACGTCGAAAAGGATAAATAAATTATTACTTACGCAACTCTCCCGAATTCGTCCCTGGGCACTTCCTTTTCGCTACCAGTCGAGGACAGCTTCGCTCTGAATGCAGCGACTCGGGCCGCTATCTCCTCCTTCGGCAACCTACGCAACCATACCAGGGACACACTCATTACTCACATAAAAATAATGAAGTTATTTATTTCAACTTATTTAATTTAAAATACGTGCGCAGTCCGAAACACGCGCGAACCGTTTACTTGCTGATGACCAATGTAAAATGTCTCACGTAGCGATCGCATACGCCAACGGGCGTAATGAAAATCTTATAATAAATTTCTCAATGTTATACCTACCAGTGCATGATACGCCGAGCCGCTATAACGGCGTAGAATTACTTTTCGAATACAATAAAATCCGATAAGACGTTCTCGGTGCGCGACTGTGTACTGAATACGAAGGAAGCCCAGTTATTGAATAATATATAACGAAGGGTGGTCGCGCACTGTTGAATTTATTGATCTGACTCCGGCGCAACGGGCACCGACCCTAACTGGGGTGCGGATCTATACCTTAGTTACAGGGGTAGCAGTTGCTATAGAACATGAACCAGCGATATTTTATTGGGTAATATAAATCGATATCGCTATGTTTCCAACCAACTAAGAGCAAAAATCAATTACGATTGTTTTTGGTGTTTGGAAATCTCTGTTATTTATTGATATTGAGTAATTTTCAGGTATTCGTAGTTGTACGAATAATACGAATAAACAATAAAAATGTACTACATGTAAAATAGAACTAAATAAAAAAATTAATCAAATTCTCATAGGTAATATTTATGGCTTAGAACAAATGATGTTTACTGTTACTTTCCTTGTGTTTTTGTTAACATGTCACACGATATGTCTAAGGAATCTTTAAACGCAAAATGGTAGATGAAGAGAAAAAAACTATAGCATGCAAAATTCATGACTTCACTGAAATGAACTTAATCAAATTCTTTTAATAGACTAAAACAATTTTATCCACTATATTGTAATACAATAAAACGGAAAATATAAAGATTGGCATTTTATAGATTCGCTCCTGTGAAAAATATAATAGAACTTTCTTTGACTTTGAAATAAATACTTAAGTTTACTGTAAAAATCTGTCATTTTTGAGACGACTGATATTTGGATGGCTACAGTCAAAATAAATTAATTCAGAAAATAAAATAAGACACAGTAATAATTATGGTCCAATTGGATTTAACATTTATATCGTCATGTTAACATTAAAAATTTATGATTTTTCAAAAGTATCACGTGACGTCATGCCATTTAATTTATACAAAATGTACCGAAGCTACGGATTTTACATTTATTAACAAAAACTGCTTTGACTTAACTGTCATCTACCCTATTCTATATAGCTACATTTAAATAATAAGGCTAGGAGTACGATTGAAATGAATTAAATATTCAAGGGCTATCGGCGAAGTTGGTATTACGTGGAAAGGTCTTAAAAAATTTAAGACACTTTTGTCTCTAAAAAACGGGACAATACTGATACTTTTATTTTAAAAATGTCCAATGTTAGAATAATATTTTATACATATTTAAGCAGCGGTAATAGTCGACATTCTACCTAAATTGTAATCATTTCATACATTGAAAGAAGTTGCGGTAATTTTTTCACGGCCCATTTTATAGGGGTCAAAGGCACTTGTGAATCTTGCAGGTGTGTATGGGTAGCGCTAGTCACTTACCATCACCCGTTTCCCCTTTACCAAAAAAGACGCCCATTTGATACAGTTTTTTTTTATTTGGTGTTATTATGTCACTGTAAGTTTTGTTGATGAATATAAAGCTAAAAGTTCACTTAGTGAAGCAGTCATTTTGATTCAATACTGATTTTTCAATAATTGTGGCTCTAAATGTTTTGGTAGTTCTCAGCGAAAAATGTTCAACAGCCTTTAAAAGTCCACTGCTGCCAAAGAGTTTTTGGCCTACTATACCATGCCGGCCAGACGGGTTAGGAAAGGGTTTGTGTCAAGATTTAATTCTTTTTGCAGTGCTGTTATGGTGCGTAGTTTCCTCCCTCAGGCGGCTCTTCCGACACCCACGGGATGAATAGGGGTTGTGACTTCCGTATTTTTTACCCGTCACCACACAGCGTACAACAATGAGTTTTATTTTAAAGTAATGACTATGGGTTGTCGTCGATTTATTTAATATTTAGCTATGTAAACATCTTTGAACTAGACTCGAGTCATACAATAAAATTTTCACACACTTCTATGGTTTGACATTTACGTAAGGAATCTGTGATAATAGAATGATTAAATAATGGTGAGATAGGTTAAAAGTTATAATTGTTATCGACAATTGAAAAATGGATACCAATAATTTTTTCAATCATTTTGGATCCAGTTACCTCGTTACAATATATTATGTGAAAATAAAATACAAAAAAAAACAACTATTATATAGTTCCTAACCCTATTATACTGTGGTAGTTTAATGAAATTGAATAATGTTCTGAAACCAGTGTAACTAATTTCATAAATTCTTTTAATCTTCTCATATAAAATATAAATTGCACACATTCACTGCGCACGCTAAATTTGCTTCATCTCTAAGCAGCACTTCCTTTAATTGATAATTCTATGTTTCGAATTTTTGTAATGTTGTTTGGTGTAAACTAGCATATAATAATTTCCTAAAATTAAACACAGTCTTGGACTCTGACTCACAACAAGTTTTCCTAACATTTCTTGATTTCCACAGAATAATGGCAAATTGTTTATAATTAAATTTTACTCCGCGGCGGAGTCCAATAACACGATTTAATAGTTTTCCTAACGATGTTGCTAACAATGCGATTGTCGGAATGACGGTGTGAAGTGACGTGGTGTGTGACGATTCGAAAATAACCGGGCCACTTGCTATGAGGAAGTTTTCCTACTCATATGCAACAAATAAAAGCTAGAATCCCCCAATTCTACTTATACCAAACGTTAATTTTTTTCGGTAAAGATATGACGGTTTAGTGTTAAGACTGAATAAGACAATGGTAAATCTTAATAGATTAGGTAATTGATTGATGATTGACCACGGCCTCACTGAAAACTGGTGTTAGGCAATTCTTTAATTACTTTTCACCGATTGAGGTTGGAGGCCCAAGCCACTTCCCTTCCCTACCCTCGAGGGGCGGGGGTCTTAGTCTTTACACTTTCAGAGAAAAAGCGCTCAGCAAACAGTATTTAAGTCAATTATGGTTCACCCTTTCTTTAACGTACACTGCTCAGTTATATTGCAGGTGTAATAAATAAATAAAGTGTTGGTGGGCGTGGGTATTTTTTAAGGATACATCACCGAGCCCCACACGTATTCAATTGAAGGTTGCGTGGGAGAAATTTATATTTAGCAACAAAGCGGTCTTTTGAGCATTACCTGTTCGAGCACATACTACATTTATTATATTATACCTGGTTAAATAAAAAAAAGACCAAATAATGGTAAGGCCATCTTAGTTCAAGGAATGTCATATAATACGAAATTATTTAAATTAACATTTTTGAGGCTAAATCATAAAATGAAGTTGTTCTATATTTATATATTATATATATCTCTCTACTTTCTTCAACATGGCGCTCAAAAAGATAATCTGACCGAAAAAAAGGGTAATAAGGATTAACAGAATGTAATAAAACGATGGTTCCTCAGTGGCATACTGCCAGATGTTTAACCTTTGCTTTACATCATAATATTAACACATAATGCAAAACAGTAACTCAATTGAATTTTAACACTATAATATTGTCGTAAAATTTGTGATAAAATTATTAAATTAGTAACTCATTAATAGTTATAAATTATACTGATTTCAAATGGATTTTACTCCTTTTATATTGTTTTTATTATGAGCTTGACTTTTTTAGGAACACGGTACCCAATCAAAAGAATCGATATTGTACTCATTAGTCGTAAGTATATCGTATGAAAAGTATCGTACTTATAATAGTATCGAAATAAAAGTATCACTACTATTAACACTTATGCTTTATTTTTGATACCATATTGCTGTATAAAAAAAATCGATGGCCAGAAATACTCGAGCGTGTAAGATAAGGGTAGGTTGAGTCAATTACATACACATTAGTGTATTTAAAGCACACAAAGGTCACAAAAACACATGACCTTGACTTTTATTTTATCTTGAAGCAAACAGTGAAAGAAACCTTCTTTAAATGTCTACATCATTTTTCAAGCCTTTATTAGTCAGTCACATTTTATTAAAAGCATAGAATCAAAATACCCTTTTTTTCTGTGCGGAACTCCCCTCGGATACCACCCACCAGTGGGTGACTATGTCGGACTCGAACCGACCAAAAACCGCACGCCGTCCCCAGGTACCAGTAGCCGGGGAACCAGGTATACCCTAGAAAGGAAAGCCCTAGTACCCCGACGTAGGATCAAAATACCCTGCAAAATTGTCATTTTTTCGGCTAGTGTGACAGGAACATCAAGCTAAACCGTCTGTATAAAATCTAACACGCTCGGGTATTTCAAAATGGCGATTTTTCTAACTTGCAGTTTGCAATTTCGATAACTCACTAATAGCTTGTGTAACTTTAAATTCATCAGATCTTTCAATAAGAGACATATAATAGACTACAACCCATAGAAGCCCTATTACCTAATCTTTCAAATGCAATAGGTCCCCATGACGCTCATGTAAATCCCCATTGAGCATAATGGGCTCCAATACTATATTACTTTTATTTAACATAAAATAAACTGTTCACATTTATTATAATTCCTCTCTTCATATAGCTCATATAATCTTTGCCTACTTTTGAGTATGCCAGTGGTAGCCCATTTACTAACTGTGGCTTTACCTTTAACCACTACCGGAGTAAAAATGGTGTAGAATGTTAAAGAGAAAGTTTCAAAAAAGCTATTATAGTAAGTGTTAGGGTTGTGTGCTGGGTACTAAAATATTAAGAGTAGCTTTAAGTTTATTCTTAGTTTTCACAATGCTATGTGGTTTTAGGTATCACCACAATACTTTTTACTACCTTCTTTTCATACCAACACAGAAAGATAGTAACTGACCAGAGTGGTCAGAGTGTAATTGATTGATTATTTTCTTGTCCTTAATTACAATATCTGGAAATATATTGTGTCCGTGTGATGACGGATTAAGAATACGGAATGTCTCCACCCCTATTCATCCCGTGGGTGTAACTAAGGAAACAAACGGCACAGGACAACAGCACTGCAAAAAGAAGGAAAACTTGAAACAAACCCTATAAAAACCCGTCGGACCAGCATCGTAGTAGGCCAAAACCGCCTTTCTAAGGAGAGGCCTATGTCCAGCAGTGGACTATTTTAGGCTGTTGATGATGTTGATGAAATATATTGTCCAAACATATGGCAGTGGTTTCATTGATTTGTGTAGGCTCCAGAAAGAGTACCTTAAACTTTGTTACTATACTATAGTATATACTTTTGACTTTTCCAATAAGTTAAAATTAAAGTCACCACAGATGATTACATTTTTTTTCAATCTTATTACTTTAACTAAAGTTCATCCATAACACGTCCAAAACAATCATACATAGCTGAAGGCGATTGGGATGGATCGCTAGTTTATTTATAATAAAAGCATGATGACTTATTAAATACGTAAAGTATGTGGTATCTATATCTTATGCCACTATTTGGTGGAATCTTTGTTACAGAAAATGTGTCTTTCTTATAATTGATTGAAAGAAAATGGTCTTAAGGTGTCAATATTGCTTATGTGTTTTTATTATTACAGAGAGAAATGTTGCTTATTTTGTGCTTATAAAGGCAATATTTCAATAAACAAGTCAGATAGATCACATAGGCATAGTATAAAGACAACACACATTTATGTGTACATACAAGATATTGTATGCAGTTAATTGTTTGTTTATTACATCATAAAAATAACATTAATTATAGATTATATTAATAGTATTAGACTCTCCAAGCTCTTATTGAACTATATATGAATATTCCAAAATATAATTCTAGAATTTTCCAAACCTAAATAAATCTTATGTATGTTCCTTCCTTATATTAATTTAATTATAGATTTTGTGCGATATTAAGCGTGTGGTGACCGATTAAGAATACGGAATGTAACAACCCCTATTCATCCCGTGGGTGTCGTAAGAGCCGACTAAGGGAACAAACTGCACAGGACAACAGCACTGCAAAAAGAAGGAAAACTTGACACAAACCCTACCAACCCGTCTGACCAGCGACCAGCAGGACTATTATAGGCTGTTGATGAAGTATATATATATATATATACTGATATAATTACACTCGAGGATTTAATATTTTCAGAAGTTACCACATTGAAATATTTCAAAAATTTGTAAAAAAAATTGTTTTATATTATTAAAATTGTTTTATGACAATCACAACATCTAGAAACCATACAGACAATAAATAACTTACTAAGGCTGCAGTTTATGACAAACAGACAAATTCTAACAAGAATGGTCAATTGTTAAATTCAGATATAGAATGCTACTTTATTTCCCTGTTATATTGGCATTATATGTGGTTATTTATAAATATACTTATGCCTGATAGTTATGTAATAGCCTTGACCCCTTTTACATAAGTGGAATTAAAATTATACTTGGTGAAAAAGGGGACTTTTATTTGCCTCTATCTGTTTTTAAGGGATAAAAGATGTGAGCATCATATCATAAATACAACAGAACTACATTTTATTGATAAAAATTTGATGAACCTTGTTATTTCCTCATCATCATCATTTCCCTTTATTTTATTCTTTAATGACAACTGTACTAGGAGTATATCCTGTGTCATAGGGAAATTAAGAAACATACATTAAATGGACACAAAGAACAGCCAAAATTATAATACTTTTCAATAGCAAGTGTGCTCAGAGATCAAGGTGGAGGCTCTGTTAGCTGAAATACAGGTTTCTTGAGCAGTTCAGAAAAAGATGCTAATACCGAACACAAATTGTCTTCAAGTCCAGAATAATTTAGCAACCATAAACTATGTGTAAATGTGTATAAGTTTTAAAGTTTAATAAACATTCATTCATTCAGAATTAGAATTAAAACAACAATATGTGGATCACACAGTGTTATCCCATGTGGGGATCAAACACAACACACTCAGAGCAGTAGGAAGCGGAGAGGTGAGTGTTTAAACCAACCATGTACCATCCATGCAGTTACCACAAAACATATTAATAGTGTCAGGTCTACTTCCTAACACCAACCCTCCTTGTGGATACATTAATTTTTATACAGAACAAAGGATAACAGTAACAGATGAGGATATTGGACTGAGACTGCAATACCTTGAAGAGGCAGGGGTTAAATACCAAAATGTCATTGAAGAAACCACCAGGAAAAGAACTTATAGTACAGTGCACAGTAATAACCATCCTTTACTAACTAGATGAAGAAATTATAGTAGTTTCTACTACATTAATCACTTTTGTAATTAAAAAATTCTTAGAAGAGGCTTACTAATGTAACTTCATGCCAAAATCAATTCGAACATGTGTTATTGGTACTGTTTCTCTCTCATTTAGGACTTGCTTATTATATGTTTATTATTATTTTTTAAATCACAAGGCACTGTGTTGTGTTGAGGTATTACTGTTTGGCATACAATTAAATGTTGATAACTTTACTGTAATAATAAAGTAGCTTGACTTGATGATTAATCCAATTTAACTCCTAAATCCTAGGTCATAATTTTTGAATTGGATAACAAATTCTTAGCAGAAAATATTAAAATGAAATATTTGTGCTTTCGTGTTTAATTAGTATTAATTAATATGCAATTGGTTACCTAAGCTAATTAATCCACTTACAAAAAATATTATCCTTAACGTTATAATCATTAATGTATTACGTCACGAAAAAATTAAACGAAAAGTCAACAAATACAACTTGTTTAAATAACTCACCCTTGATCCTCAAGACTATCCTCAAGTTCTGCGCATTTTACTTCTATCTTTCGTTTCCTCTCATGGTCTAGAATCTCACGGTTAGGTTGTTTATTGGATGCAGAGTCCAACTTAGCTATTTCTTCCTCAGTTCGATAATTCACAGAGTCTTTGGTTTTCCGGGCCGATGCCCAGTTTCTTTGCACATATCCGTTGGTTCCGGAGCCTCGTGGCGTCGTCAAACCAATACCATTATACATTTCGCCGGTTTATTTACCTAAAAAGCATAAATCAATTTTATGACATGCTCTGCAAGGGTAAGACGCATCCAGTTGGAAAAGTTCCTTATATTTGCAAGATTATTAAACTTAATTACAATGACAAGGTAACTGTGGAAATTGAATTGAGGTTAAATATTTACACATATATCTCACAATTTACAAATACCTTAATATTTTATTTTATCCAAGACACACGTCCATCTTGGTTGATACTGTTTTTTTTTGGAGGTTGTCTCTGGATGGACTCGTGGGTATTGCCAGAGCCATGAAGAAATCTTATCTAAAAGCAAAAATCAGGATTATATTTACAAAATTGCCTTCATGAGCAGTTGCGGTTTTCATAATAATATAATAGATCGTTGTCTTAATTTTTTAACATCGATGAAATATTTCAAGCACGAAATTTCTTCTCCTATTTCAAAGCACAATAATGATTTTTCTACCCACTTGAATCATTAAAAAAATGGTTAAGTGTGAAAAAGAAATAAAACCGTAGTTGATAAAAAAAAGAGAGAAAAAGATAAGATTATGATTATTGAAATTACTTTGAAAATTTAATGTCTGCAAATTTAAATTATTAATTAAAATATAAAATTAAGGATACCATTGAAAAAGCTCTTTATTTATTTTCAGATCCAAGATCTGTGTTGATAATGAATGCAATAGCTGCACATGATTATCTAAATGTTTGATGTTAAAAGACTTTGTATCAGTTCTTAAAGCAATATTATAAAAAATTGTGTGATAGCTGTCATTTTTTTTATTGTTTTAATCAGTGTTGTCAACGTAATGGATCTTCCACTAAAACTTGTTAGTGGTGAAATATTATTCTAGTGGATTTTTCTAGTAGATTAGTCGTAGTTATAAGATTGTAAAGGACTTAGAGATCATATTGAAAGTTGAACTGTGAGAACTATTTGAACCCCAAGAATCTGCTAAGAATGGAAGGATGGAGAATGGACATTGGACGGCAGTGCTTGGGAAGTTATGTAGGCTTTGTGCTAGAGAGAGAGGAAGGTTCCGGAGTGAAGAGAATAGTTAATAATGTGGGTTTTAATTTCGAAGATGTCATTCAGGATGGTAACCATTGATGACCCGGGAGAAAATTCACGGCACGGGAGAAAATTCAAAGTGGGTCTGAGCAGGCTAGCGAATTGGTCCAAGGTTTTGATAATCCAGTTGAGTAGCAGAAGAGAATTATGTCATTCAAACCAATGGTCGTTTGAAACTAGGTCCGTTGTTGTCTATCAATACCCTACGTATAAACTATAAGGGAGGTGCCCTCATACTCAAAGTATTACACTTCAAAGATGCATAAGGAAATTCGAAGTTTGAGGTATTATTCGAATTTAGACAATTTATTTGAATGTAATAAAATACAAGCAGAGGAATAGAATTAAGTTAATACACTGTGGTTTGATGTTGAAGGGAAAATGCTGCAACGAATATGAAATTCCAATAAGCATTGAAAAACATATCGATACCAAAGAATCGTATCAATCTGAAAGCGACGATGATGGTGCAGGCAAAAACGATTCATCTGAAGAAAACTAATTAACTTAAAAGAAGTAACTTTTGTTTTTGAATATTTTTTTATCCTGAGGGCCAATTACAAGTTTATTTGATATCAACTCGCTCTCAACTGCGAGGGCGTTCAGCTTTGCGATACTTGCAATTGCAGAAGATTTCAGTGCGGGCCAATCGCAGCGCCGAACACGGTCACCGTGTGAAATAAACTTACACTTGGGCCTCAGCTTTTGACTTGATGTTTTACTATTTGTATGTTGATTTATTGGTTGATAGTATTTTTAATAAACAAGAAGTATATTGTTTCTTCCATAATAACAAAACAATTTTTAGTGGAAAATTTTAGTAACTCTTAGACGTTTGGTTCCCTATACTTGAACACTCCGCCTGGGGTTCAAGTAGAAAGAACCAGCCGTTTTTCGTTAGTGGTTTTCTAGTGGTTTTTGATGTTGACTCTGGTGGAGACTGGAGAGTTTATTTAACCGTTGGCAACACTTGAAAGTAAAATGATTTCGGGGTTAGGAAGTTTTTGTTTAACTATTTTCGCAATTTCGGTACTGTAAATATTATACATTTTGAAATAGTTTCATATCTTGTTTCTAAGTAACAAAAATCATGCTTGACAAAATTTTGTATAATACTGTGCTCTCTCAGACATTATCTCCTTGTGGAAAGTATTTAGTTGCCGGTAACATATACGGGCAAATTGCTGTATTTAAGTAAGTATTTCTCATTGTGATACTTTGTTTATTCCGATAAACTTTTTCATCACGAGTGCAGTAGCGAAATTGTATAACAGTATATAATACTCTTATTCAATTTCGCTTTTATTTACCATGTATTAATTTTCTCCATTTCAGTTTGGAACGAATTCTCAATCCTGAGCCTCTATCTTTAGACTATAACAAACCTAAGCACATCCATAACATCGAATCTGGTTATCAAATATGTAGCTTAACGAGTACAGATGCAGCTTTAATAATTGGAACTGTCAATGAAATATTAGGATATGATTGGAAAACAGTTACAAGTGCCAAAGTGAGTAAACCTTTGTGGCGCATAAAAATATCTTCAGAGACGTCTATGGAACAAATAGATGTAAATAGTCTATGGTTATCTGAAGATGAGGCTAAACTGTATGCGGGTTGTGGTGATAACAATATCTATGTATACAATATGGATGATGGAAGACTGTTATCAACTTTTAAGGGACATACAGATTTTGTACATTCAGTACACGGAAAGTAAGTATCACTCACATTCTGAGTGAGTTTCTGTATTAAAATATCTATTATAAATCATTATTTTTTTAATGCCCTACGAATAAATAATCATAACGGAAAAAAAAAACAGAAATTTCATATATCTTAAATGTGTGTTTCAGTTTCATGTCTTATCCCAAACTCTACTGTGTTTTATAAACCAGACTGATCATAAACTTACTTATAAATTTCTAAATACATACATAGAGACCTATTTCTTAGAGTTCCATGGATTCACCGTGTGGGTGCCGGGACCATCGCGTTGTAGATGGGGCAACACATGCAACTTGTGACCCAGTATACCAGTAAACCTATAGGTTTAGGGAGTACTTCTTGCAACGTATTAACACTCACCTTATCCCCTCTACCTAACCTTATTTGAAACGAGCCTAGCAATGTGGCTTTGGATATTTCTTGAAGAAAAGAGCTTACTGAAGCTCTGGGCAATCCAAGGTCTGCAAGCAAGGTTACAGAGGGATTTAGCTGGTATACCCCTTGCACCCACTTTCATGCCATAAAACGCAACAGCATAACCATTTTTAGTTATTTAATGGGTTAAGTCAAAATACTTGTTTCTTTTTAAAGCATGGTTTTAGGGATTTTCGTTTCCCACGGCACTGTGAGTTCTACTAGGACTACACGCTTAATTGAAATTGCATAAAGAAATATGTCTGGCCTGGATGCCAAGGCACAGATATGCTCTAGTATTCTGTTATGATTTTTATACGTCCACTAATAATGTCAAGTCACTGGCGGTATTCATAATTGAGTACTTTTTTGTTGAGCCTTCCTTAAAAGTTTTTAGTTCTTATGTTTGATGTTATTGATTTTGTCGCTCTTGCCAGCGCTAAACTTATAGCTTCGCGTATGAGTTGTAATACCCTATCATTGCGACGTGCATAATGACCCCGGTCTAATAGCGCCTTACATCATGTCAGGTGGTTTCGGGTTACGCTTTAAGATTGCGAGGTCGTCTGCGATTGATTATCTGTTAATATATTTATAACTGTATTAAATACTACATTAAATACGACATACTTACCTTGTACTTGTACCAACATGTACGAACATAAGAAGAAGGATTATTCTCATGACACAATTGTTTGGTAAACCCAGAAGTGGTGGGTATCAAACCCACAACCACTGGCTCAGTAGACAGGATCCATTGAATAAATTGATTTATTATATGTATTGCAGAAACCAACAGCTAATCTCAGCCAGTGAGGATGGCTCAGTGATACTATGGGACACAAGAACACGCACACTTCAGAATAAACTGACACCTCATACTAACAGTAAAGTGAACCGGCCAGACATTGGCAAGTGGGTTGGATCAGCAGCTTTAAATGATGACTGGATTGTAAGTAATAAAAATATAATAATAAGTAATAATTAGACTTGCAACGAATATTCGGTTACTATTCGGTATTCGGCCTATTCGGCTGCTTTTATTATATTCGGCCGAATACCGAATATCTACATATTATTCGGCCGAATACCGAATACTTAAATAATATATTTTGTCATTGAGAAATAATTGGTAAAATGAAAAATTAAAATCGATTGATTACGTATATATTCATATTTTCATTTCTGTTATAATCATTTAAGTAGTCATTGGTGCATAACACAGGTACATAATCATCTTCTGAATTGGAAAAATGGAGGATTCTATGTATTTGAATTATTGTGGTAATCAAAATTTAGAAGGGTAAGGTTCTCATTTCTTTTATAATCATTTATTAAGTAGTCATTGGTACATAAAACAGGTACATAATTTAATTCACGTCTGTACAAGTTTTTGGCGCTAAAATCCAGCCGAATACTTTTGCCTAATATTCGGCTATTCGGTCAGGGGCCTCGCCGAATATTCGGTATTCGGTATACTGCCGAATATACTATTCGTTGCAAGTCTAGTAATAATACATTCACAAATCGCACATACGAACTAGGCAGAGCCTGTGCTACGGTAACCAGAGTGCTGATAAACATACTTATATATTTCTAAATCCATACATATTTTAGATAAATTACACCCAGACAACAAATCATCATGCTCATCACACAATTATTTGTCCTGGTTGGGAAGTCTAAGTGAAATGCCCATTATCACATTTTATCTTAAGGCAAAATCTTGCCCGTGTCTGTAATACGCGTAATAGGGGTTAAAGTATGAAATTGACGTTGTATAGTAATAGATACTTGAATTGACATTAAACCTTCATGGTGTGAGATTTTCGTATGAAACTTTTTTTTACAGGATACCTATGAGGTTCTTTTTTTAAAAAATGTACAACATTAGATTTTCGACTTTCTATTATTATTTTTAGTCAGCTTAGACGTGAAAGATGTATAATTCGAAAATTCGAGTCATTTTTTAATACGAGTTCGGACGCGAAACTAAGGCGCTAGAAACGGCTCGCAATATCAACGCTGCGTTTGGAGAGGAGACTGCTAATGATCGCTCTTTTGGTTTAAACGCTTTCGTAATGGAAACTTCGACTTGAAGAACGAACCACGTCGAAAACCGCCCACACAGCTGAATAACGCTGAACGAGATGGTGGAAGCCGATCCGAGTCAAACTACCCAAGAATTAGCGTCACTGTTTAACGTTACCCTACCTACAACATTGGCTCATTTGCATCAAATGACTGCACGGATGGTGTAGTGGTTCAAGCGGACGCCGCTTACTACAACTGTGGTCCAATCCTCACATGGGACGACACTTTGTGTGATCCACAAATTGTTGTTATGAGTCTGGGTGTTCTTTGTGTCCTTTTTATGTATGTTAGTTAAGTCTCCCGCGACACAGGATATATTCCTAAAATCAACAAGATAAAAAAAACCGGGCCAAGTGCGAGTGGGACTCGCGCACGCGTTCCATTATCTATAAAAACGGCAAAAAATCACGTTTGTTATATGTCATATTAACGGATACTAAAATTAGAATAAAATACATATTTAAGGGGGGGGGGGGGGGGAAGGGGCCCTAATCGTACATAACGTGTAAGAGATATTTATAGACTGACAAACGCTGGCTAAACCTTACGAGATAGACCAAAATATTGTACTACTCAATTGTATATCTTAAAAAGATCTACAAAAAAATCCGGGATGGTCTATGTCTATCTCCTAAGGATAACTTACAGTAACCATTTTTATTTTTAAAATAATACAAAAAAGTGATGGGTCACTTACGAAGCTATTTTAAAGAACACTTTATTGAAAATACTTTATTAAAATTGCTCTTTCCAGCATATCATTAAACTGAATATTTTAGAAGACGTTAGAGGTTTAAAACGCTGGGGCCCAACGACCGTCAGGACTGTCAGGTGGCAGCGGCCGGCAGGATCGGAGCTGGCCTATAAATATTGCATTTCAAGATGTCCTGTAGTATTGTCCTAATTTAAAAATAGTACAGTTAATTACTCCACACTGACGCCACATTAGTAGTATTACTAGTGCCTACATTGCACCCGTGCGAAGCCGGGTATATGTATATATAAGTAATATATGTATGTATATTGTGTATAATGTAATATAGTATATGTATATTTAACAAACTTATAAAATATTTTTTACTACTTTTATAATATTGATTCCTATTTAACAAACAGGTATGCGGCGGCGGTCCACGTTTGGCTCTCTGGCACCTTCGATCTTTGGATGCCGTCACTGTCTTCGATATTCCTGACCACGGGATCCACGTTTCCTTCTTCCACGATGATTGCGTCATCGCCGGAGGTGCTGCCAAGCACTTGTACCAACTGTGTTACTCTGGAGACGTAAAAGTAGAACTGCCGGTGTCCGCTACCACGGTATACTCAGCTGTGCTGAGGACTACGCCAAATAAAGTTCTGGCTATTGCCGGATCTAGTCCAGAGATTGATCTGTGTACTTCCTTTAATTATAGAGACCAGATTTTGCATTTTCGGTAATAAAATTAGGTCTGTAAATAAATATGTTAAAATTTTCGGCTAAGAATAAAAAAAAACAAAAAAGTATTGTTTTTTTTATTTACAACTAGCTTTTAGTTACAAGTTCGTACTCATTGATGAGTACACACACACATATCGAGAGATGATATATTATCGATATATATTATGATACATTATCGTTTGGATAGTTAAACTCAATTTGGCATTTATATATGTATAATACATATAAAAATATATACCTTTTTTTAACTACATACATATTATACATAGAAAAACGCAGACCAAATCAAACATTAAGTGTTTATGCACACAAATGTTTGACATGAGCGGAAATCGAATCCGTCATCCGACCGTCAATTATTAATATTTTTTATTATAAAATAAATAAATAAAAATAAAAAAGCCTTTTTATTTCCAGTAAATTTTACATTTCTTTAAAATCTATGTATGTGTTAGTTTTATTTAGTTTATTCTATGTTATTTATTTTTGTCTTATTTAATATAATTTTAAGTGGATTTTATGTCTTAACTATTATATCATAGTATTTATATTTACAAAAAATTTATTTAGTCTACCGGAACCCCAGAATGGGTGAAGGCCTCCTCCAGTGATGCCCATTTGGCTCTGTCTTCAGCTACTTGTCTCCAGTTTGGACCAGCTATTGCTTTAATATCATCCTCCCATCTTGTAATAGGTCTACCTCTTATTCTTTTGCCTAGTGGGCCGTTCCAAAATGTTACTTTTTTGGTCCATCTATGATCTGTTATCCGCGCAACATGTCCTGCCCACTTCCATTTTAATTTCTGTGCGTAACTCAGAGCGTTTGTTGCTTTAGTTATTTTTCTTATTTTAGTGTGTCGTATTTTATCCAGCTTCCTAACCTTTAACATACTTCGTTCGAGTCCTCTCTGACAGACGCTTATCTTCTTTCTTGCTTCAGCAGTGAATTTCCACGTTTGGCAACCATATGTCAAACATGGCAAGAGGCTCGAGTTCATGACTTTTGTTTTAATGGCTTGTGGTAAATTACTTTTAAAAATGTCCTTGAGACCCCAGTATTTGTTCCATGTTAATTTTATTCTTTTCTCTATTTCTATGTTTTTATTTTTCCTGTCGAAACTTATAGTTTTTCCCAGATAGACGTATTTTTCAACGTATTCCAATGGTTTGCTATTGACTATTATTGGTCTTTTCATGCTATTTGTCATTGTCTTAGTCTTTGTAATATTCATTTCTAGTCCCACCTTTACACTAGCTAGGTGTAGGGTTTCTACCATGTTCTGTAGTTGAGAGGATGATTCGGATAACAGTACTAGGTCATCCGCGAATCTCAGATGGCTCAAGTAGTTTCCATTTATGTAAAGTCCTCGTTTGCTCCAGTCTTTTTTATTATAACTAGGTATTAATGTTTGTATATTGAAATACTTGGGGCAAGGTACATCATACACAGCCATCGCCATCTAGCGAAATAAAACTGAAACACTGTAAATACAGAGTCTGAACAATATAGTCTGTATTTCTGTAAACCTTAACATACGAGTGAGTTAATAGAAACATTGCAATTTAGTTTCTTGGGGTCGATCTTTCATTTGCCAGGTTTGAATAGGGATATTGAATGCTTGCTGAAACCGCAAGCTAACCCAGGTCATCCTTAGCACCTGTTACTGAAGTTGGGTCATATCGGCCATACATTGAAAGAGCGAAGTGCAATTTTTCAAAGTCATTATCGTAAGTTGTTAAATAATAAATTCTATTCTATAAATTCTACAATAGGAAAAAATTGTAATAGGGGGTTTTATGTAACTTTCTTTCTTTTCCGTGTAGTGACAGATTAAGAATAGGGATTGTCACTACCCCAATTCATTCCGTGAGTATCGTAAGAGCCGACTAAGGGAGAAAACTACGCAGAACAACAGCACTGCAGAGAGAAGGAAAACTTGACACAAGCTCTATACCAACCCGTCTTGCCAGCGTGGTATAGTAGGCCAAAACCTCCTTTCTAAGGGGAGGCCTATGTCCAGCAGTGGACTACTAAAAGCTGTTGATGATATAATTTTCTGGGATAGATCTCCCCTACTGACTAAAACAATAAGTCACGGCCGGCAGCTAACACGAGAACCCGCAGAGGTATGCGGTCTTAACGCATCTACGGTGCAACAGCCAAAATTATCCTCCTACTACATTTAAAAAAATATAATAGTCTTATTCATGTTCCTAACATCTTTGAGAAACAAAAATGAGACCAATATATATTGGTACATAGCAATATTATATTTTGAAAGGCCTTTTTAATGCTTGTTGGGTATTTGGTAAATTCGATTCAATCACATCCAAAAAAGGTTGCCCTTAGTAATCAAAATGATCAACAATACATAAAACTTCTTCACGACTAAAAACTAAAAACGCAAATACTGACTGATTATAATACAATAATAATCATTCATTTTCCTTCCTCTAATATGTCACTTAAACAAGAAATACTACAATGTCATAATGAAGTACTAAGATACCAGTTTCCAAGCTAGATAAAAACATAGGTTATGGATGACCAGGTTTCCATTTCACAGAACCGGCATCTTCTCGGAAATGGTGCAATTTGTAGCTAATAGGACTAGTAGGAGGAAAATAAAAAAAAAACTTAAACATCCAAACAGGTAGGCAAAGTAAAATTGTATGTATTGTGAATTTATACATGTTTGTTTGTGAGTGTGTAGGTATGTATGATGGGTCTGGCTGTGTCTGGTTGTATTGTGTGTGAGAGTTGAGACCCTCACGTAGATCTCTATAGATGGGTTAAAAAAAATTAGGTACTCTTCTATGACTATCTTTTGTTTTTAGCAACAAGGCCTTCACTTGTATATAATATCTATGTCGTGTGTTTATTATAATAAGCAACATGTTGTTTATCTGTAGAAGGCACGTGCCAATAGGGTAACAAATAAAAATATAATCTACACCTCAATGCCTTGTTAAAACAATGTATCTAAATAATATTAATTTCTTGGCTTAACTGAATTGGGGATTGATTGGCAAAGTAACAATAACATACAATCATTATTAGTACTTTAATGTCCTGCGTGAATAATAATTTATATATAACCATGTCCTGCCACGGCCGCTGGTATGAAACCGTGACTCCCATCGCGCTTCTTCACGTAGAACCATTCTGCATCAACATCAGTTTCACTCGCCCCACCTTGAATTAAAACTACCACATCACCTTTTTGCACTGTCAGGGTCTTGTTCAAAACACTACCTTTGTAATCACAGTTCACAACCAGCAGAGTCTGTCTCACTCGTTTAAAACTCTTTTCCTTATCAACTTTGTCAATAGAAGAAACAGATTTAGTTTTTAAATAAAGGCTGTCAAAGTTCTTTTCTGCGCAAGAGTTTTTTGGTCGCCTTTTGTATTGGTAGCGGCACTCGGAACGCGTGCGCCCGCGCAGTTGTTCCTTTTCGTTGTCGGTTAAGTTGCCGCATGGACGGGGGTAGATGTCGGTGCTGCTTTCCCAGCATGGAGTTTTCTTTTGTGCCGATGTCCTGAAAAATTATTGTAATTTATATCTCAATTTGTATTGAAAGATACGAGAGTTACTGGAGTTTTATTTTAGAACGTGAATTTAAAAATTGGACTTTTCGCATAAATTATGAATCTCTACCCTATAAAAAACAATGTGCTTAGTGTTGTATTGTCTCTATTTATGAATAGGTACACTCACTAATCCTGAAACAAAGAGAAAGAAACACGTAGGAGTTAGGTGTGACGTGGCCCAAGAGTGGTCAAAAAGTAACTCCACAGACATCCACAGCATTTTTGGGAGAATGATAGAATAATGGTGAACTACAGTTTCTTCTGATAGTGCCTTTGACCTATAACTCCATGAAAATGACAGCAAATTGTTGTTGTCATTTTCATGGAGCAACAGAGCACGTAATCCTGTTATTGCTTATTTATTCCTATATATACTCTTACTCGTATTAAGAAGACATCACCTGTAATGACCTGTATCAACAAAATGTGCACTCTCTAAGATATCTTTTTTCGCCTAGCGGGGAGAGAGTTTGTTTGCCTAGTCCGCCTCTTTTACATAGTCTCAAAAGCTAATACTTTCAAGAAACAATGAGATTATATTTTGCCTAATTTGATTACCAAATTCAAATCACTCACCTATTCGGCAAAATTCCTAGCGGCAAACATGCGGTATACAGCACGTATCCTTCCTCTCCATGCGGCGTCTGCGCATACAACCAATGTTCATTTTTGAACACAGCATTCACGACGGTTCCTAGAGGCAACGTCAGCTCTTGTTGAGTTTCTTTCTGGGTCTGGTACAGTGTGCTTGGGTAAGCTATGACTACTGGTATGTTGCCCGGACGATCTATTGACGCCTGAAAGTATAAATAATTTATACGTTACTTTTTAAACCGACTACAAAAGGAAGATCTTACTTTGAAGTCGAAGTTTAGCTGTTTTTTTTTAATGTTTATTACTTCAGAACTCATTTATGAACCGATTTGGAAAATTCTTTTTATTTGAAAAGGCAGTCAAAATTTTTTTAATGGCCTAACGCATGCCAACATAAATTATTGAATGGTCCATAAACATGATTTTTAAGTATCATCTTTATTTATTTCTTATTACAACTAACGGTGTCACTAAAAGAAAATCTAGTGTCCTCTGTTAGAGTTTGTTGTCAGTGTTTAGTACGGAACTTTTTTAAGGACCATACTTTTACGGTCCGGTGATTCTGATTTCAACGAAATTTCCTATCCATTTTCCATCCATCCATTTTTCATTAGAAACTGTGTGTGCCAACTGACGATCTTAGAACCCAGGAAGACAACATCCAAACGTAAAATAATGAAAGGTAATCGAATTGACCACAATTGGCTTTGGCGAAAGTTAGAAGTGAAAGTAATTCAATTATTGTCTTATTGACAATTGAATTTTAGAGTTAAAAAAAAATTGCTATAAGTGTATAATTTGTGATGTCTAATAGCCCACGTAAATATTTCTATTATCCATAATTATCTCTCTAAACATACAACAGACTCAATACTAAATGATGACATGGTACTTAAAGCTTTTTTTATGATTCCACTACAGAGAAACATACATAAAAGTATTATAAAATCTCTTTCGCAAAAGAAATTTTTAAAATATTCTTTTATATAAATTTTATTATATATTTAAAATAATTATAGATAAATATTATATATATATTATATTATAGATAAATTAGACGCAGACATAGAACTAATGATCGTGATCATCATACAATTATTTGTCCTGGGTGGGAATGGAACTCACGACCTCTGGCTTAGCAGTGGTCAGGTTATTAACCATTAGTCGCATTATGGGCTATAGGGCTGGCTAGAGCTAGACTCAAACGTCGACAACGCACTTTTATTATTCTTGAGTTGCAAGTGTGCGGCGGTAGTCACTTACTATTGAGAAGATTTACTTACTACTAAAAATAACAGACAAACAAGGAAAAAATCAACAAAATCGCACAGCACTTAAAGGCCAAAAAATCACAATGACTGTTTAAGCGCTCTCACAATGTTACATTTTATCTAATTGAAAAAAAAAACGCTTAGGCGCCTTAGGTGATCCTTTTTGTATTAGGACACACTAATACAAAAAGGATCAATATCATGCTGTTCACATACCTCATTAAAATTAACTTTAGCACGCATAAGAAAACGAAAGTTTGTAAATAACTTTAAATATTTATATGATATTGACACTGGTCGTTTCTGCACACTACCGTAATATTAGAATACAAGACTAATAGAAAAGTTTACGTTGATATAACGTTTCTTTACACCCACTGTAATTCCGTAAGCGGCAATAACAATAAGATCAAAACTGAGATTTTATTACTGAAAATCCCACTCTATCACTATTACCATAAGTTCTTAAATGACGTAACGTAAAACGCATTGTATTGAACGAATATATATAAAACTATCTAGGGACCGCGACTTCGTCTGAGTAGAACCATACCTTTAAGTGCCTAGCCTTTTTTATCAAACGTTATTTATTCCTTAAAAATAAAACTCATGATAGTTTTAATACTTTGAAAAACCTAATCCTTCCTTAAGTTGGGTAAAAATGGTTAGATTTTATACAAAATTTCATCTATTCCCTATTTAAACCGTTCATATAAAAAGTTTTCGTAGGATTCTATTTATCAAAATTAATTTAAAATTTGTTGAGAAATTTAGGCATGAAAGCGTCATAGAAAAACATACCTACTATCAGACCGATTTTTAAACGAATTCAAAAACACAAAAGAGGAGGTTCTCAATTCGACTGTATTTTTTTTAATTGTGCATCAGGCTTAGCCCGACTTCAGACTAGAAGGTTTCTATTGATATTATAATTTTACCTGTTATTTGAGGCTCTACCTTATTTTGGTTTTTTCAATTATGTTTTAATGGTTAGTGCTCTTTGTTAGTATTGTTTTGCAGTTGGTTTATCTTGAAAAAAAAATGACATTACATTTTAAAATATTAGTTATTACTACATTACTGTATCATAAGATGTAAGATGTCCGTGTGGTGACGGATTAAGAATACAGTATCACCACCCCTATTTATCCCATAAGTGTCGTAAGAGCCGACTAAGGGAGAAAACTACGCAGAACAACAGCACTGCAGAGAGAAGGAAAACTTGACACAAACCCTATACCAACCCGTCTTTCCAGCTTGGTATAGTAGGCCAAGTCCAGCAGTGGACTATTAAAGGCTGTTGATGATGATGATATAATAAGAGCTGTTCAAGATCCGCCAAGAAATGACTGATATTTTCTTTGTAATATCCGCGTATACGGATGAGGATAAAGGTTTATAAAGCACATCAATAGAATAGTATAAATGTAATAAATAAATTATGCGTCTCGATTGACTCTCAATTTATTATACATATATTGATCTTATATCATATTTAAATGACAAAGAATTTAGTTTGATACTCCCACTTATAGTGACACACATTTGAAGTGCGTTTGATCTGAGTAGTTCGAATATGACTCATGTTTTGATGGTTCTGTAACAAACTAACTGTAAAATATTGCAGTAATGTTCATACATCCTCGGGGTTTAACAAACCTACTTATATCTTAATATATATAAAGTAAAGCAAAACTAATTACAACATTTATAACTTAAGAACGGCTGGACCGATTTTTATAATATTTGATTTGTTGGATAGGCCTGTGCTTCGAATAGCAGAATAATTAGAAAAAACACTATCTAGACCCAAACTATTCCCAGCTGGGTCCTACTGTGGGCTTTAGGCTTTTTGTCCTGCTTTTCTTAATTTAATTTGGAGAGTCAGATAAATTAAGGTAGGAATACGGAATGGAGGAGGAAGTCCGGGTCAGAGATGCCTTTAGTCTCCGATGAGAAAACGGGAACGGGACTATGACTGTGGGACATTTGTTCTATGTCTGGATGTAACCTATCTATAATATGTATGTATACGTACGTTTATTTGCGGTCTGATTACCATAACACAGGCTCTACTTAATTTAGGCAAAGACGACCGTGTGGAAGATGTGTCAAGTTATTGTTATTAATGTTTTTATTATTTTATAAAACGACCTGACCAAAGTAAATAGACTTAATGTATTCATTTCTTTGAATCTGCGACCTTTGTTTGCAGTTGCGGGCTCAAATTCTATAAATCCGTGTTGTGGAACATATGTATTTAAAAAAGCTATGGTTTCTTTGGGATTAAATATAATCGTTCAAAGTTTTTATATTTATGTATGTATACTAGGCGCTCCCAGCAGTTTCAGTTGCGTTTACGTACTCTACTACGCTTCTTAGGATTGTAACATGGTGTTAAATAGCCTATAACATCCTGAATTAAAACTATTGCTAATATAAGAAAAAGTATTCAAATCTGAAGTCCAATTCTCGTAATAAAAGTTCGGTCACAATTCAGATCCGATCAACTTTCGATCTTGCTTAAACCTATGGCTCCAAATCCAATACCACTTTTTTTTGCACATTTACACAACGCCATCTAGTCCCAAACTAACCAGAGCTAGTACTATGAGTACTAGACAACTGATATAAATACATTTTTTTTGTAAATACATACATATTATACATAGAAACACCCAGACCAAATCAAGCATTAAATGTTCATGCACACCAATGTTTGAATTGAGCGGGAATCGAACCCGCGATCTTTAGCGTAGCAGCCTGTTACACAAACCAATACGCTATCCGGCGGTCAACTTAATATTTAGTTGTCTGGTTATAAATATTCTGTGAGATGTGTACACTAAGTCGTTCAATATTAATGAGGCCTTGGACAGTGACATGAGACTTCTTGAAGTGACATTTCAAATCTAGGTTTAGGTACATAGATTTACCGGTGCCTAATAGTATAAGACAACTGAATACCTAATACCATATTATATTAAAGAGGTCAAAGCTATTAAATCATCGTCATAAGTTATATTCTGGATATACCATTGACAAATTGTTTACGTTTCCAAATGTGTTAGGAACGTCAGAATACTAAACTTTTCACTTTGTTATAATAATTTGGATTTTAATTTTAATTTGGATTTTAATCTGTTATACGACTTATGAAGTCAAAATGTTCATAAAAAGCTCATATTTATTTTTTGCTGTTTGTGACGGTGATGAATACTAATATTTTAAAACTAAAGTGTTTGTTTGGTGGTTGAACGTGCTAATCTCAGAAACTAAAGATTCGAATGGAAAAAATCTTTTAGTGTTTGATAGCCCATTTATCGAGGAAGTAGTTGCACAGGTCAGCTAGTCATACATCAATTAGGGAGCTCATGGGACCTCGTGACTGAGTATATAAAAATAAAGTACATCATTTCCAGCAAGGAAAGTAACATACATTAAGATAAGGCACATGCCTTATCTTAAACTTGATCTTATAATTTAATGATATGATTAATTTTCGTAAAAGAAAAAATAGTTATTAATGACACTAGAGGTAGTTAACTAGGACTATGTTAATTATTATTATGATTGTTCAGCACTGTGCAACCAACAGCGGTGGACTAATAAAGACAACAATGATGATGATGTGAAACATATACTACGAAAATCATTTATCGAAGTTCATTTTCTAACATGAATTTCATTTTTGGTTCTCTCTGGATTTTTCTTTAAAATCGTTCTTTTGATTCAAAGAAACACGCAAATACAAGTGAATCAACATGGATCGTCTAAAAAAATTGGCCTATGCCTACTTCGACAGATAATTAGACTATAGCCCTAGTGATAAATGCGGGACTAAACAAACTTCTGTGAAGCTGTAACTCTCCAGAAAGAGACCGCTAAAGGGGATCGGGAGAGGGCCGATCCCGAACGTAGAAGACGTCGGCGGCCCATCGACGGGACTGCAGGCTGCTAGAGATTGGGGACCTCTGGTAGCAGATTAACTGTTGCGGTTAGCGATAGGATGGCGGTCTGGTCGCGAAAATGCAATCGTCACGCAACATGACGGGCCAACAGGCCAACAGGTCTAGTGGCTAGTGACCCTGGCTGCTAAGCCGGAGGTCGTGGGTGCGATTCCCACCCAGAACAAATTTTGTGTAATTAGCACGGTCGTTTGTTCTGTGTCTGGATGTAATTTATCTATAATATTTATGTATTTAAAAATATATATGGATGTTTATCAGCAGTCTGGTTACCATAGTACAGGCTCTGCCTAGTTTGGGATCAGACTGCCGTGTGTGAGATTTGTAAAGTTATTATTATTATGTAATGATTGGGCCGATAGGCGGGGGGAAACCCGAGACTTCATCGGAATAGGGCATTACTAGGCGGGGCATTGAGCCGGGGGTGGGGGGACTTGAAATAACATGGTCCGGGTTCTCCTCGGGGTCGGGGTGGTGTGGGTTTTAGTGGAAACACCACATACGCCTGGCTCCTGCGTTCCGAGGAGCCGGACATCCAAAGGGATTTCCCACCCGTCTACAAAAAAAGGACTATATAATATATATGTATATAGAGAGTTTAGTGATATATCCTTGTGTCACAAACTTCAGCCTTTTTAGGTATTTGTAAAAAAAAAAAAACTATCTTTTACAAAATAATGTATTGCCATTTGAGAATATTTTAGTACTCTAAACTCCAAATTTTCTAGTGGCAACCCTACACACATTCCGTTAAAGTTATTCACTTAATATAATTTATTTTTCTGTTAAAACATCACTGATTGCTTTTATAACTCCAAAATATTTGGTTTAATATTGTTCATACGCAATTTTATGACTGCGTGGGACAATGATCATTAAATGTCATTCAATATTTGTACCGTTAACTTTGAGTGTTTGTAATTCGGCATGTATTTGTCTATAAAAACTTATCTCGGTGGTATTTCTTGTCTTTAAGATTATATAACATAATATATCAGGCTCGTATGCACTATTCTAGCGCTAGTTACGGATTCTTTTCAAAATTTGAGGGTAGTCCATTTCTCAAGTCTAAGCAGATCCGTAGATGTTTTCGTCACACACTCATGATATTTTCTTTCACAATATAAATCATAATGGTATTTTTAATACACAAATAAACTTTGAAAAGTAGGATAAGTTATTATTTGAAAAAACACAGTAACGAAGGTGCCGCGGTTTGACCGTCGCCTCGTCATTACTAGGAGAAAACTACATAATCTGAAGCCCATTTCTCGTAATAAAAGTTCAATTCAGTTCTGAATTCCGATCAACTCTCAATCTCACAGCTGTCATAAAAGGTATTTTTGTAGTAAAGTATTAAACATCCAACGTCGACTGTAATAATCGCATTGTGACCGAAAATCGGTAATCTGCTAGACTAAGTAATACTTTATTATTTTACTACAAAAATACCTTTTATGATGGTTGCCAGATCGAAAATTGATCAAAACTCAACTTTTATCGAAGTTTTATAACGAGAATTGGTCTTTAGCATGCTAAATTAAACCAAAAGTAATTAAGAAAACCCTGGATTTTTTTTCAGTTTCAACCAGTATTATTTACTTAAATTTATGTTGAAAGTAATTCGTGTGGTGACGGATTAAGAATACGGAGTGTCACCATCCTTATTTATCCCGTGCGTGTAGTAAGAGCCGAAGCAGCAAACTACGCAGAACAACAGCACTACAAAGAGAAGGGTAACTTGCCTATACGAACCCTAAAGGCTATTGATGTGATGTAATTTGAAAGGTAAAAATATATTTTCAATTATACATTTTTTGTGATATAAGTAGTGTGTATATATGTATATACACACTACTTATATCACAAAAAATAAATAAATATATAATAAATCGTTGTTCTTAATAAATCACATGATTTAAGTAGTATCTATATGTATAGTGCTATGTTGTATTTGTTTGATGTAGTGTACATATGGTTATTTTTATGTACTGTCAATTTGTTTATCCAGAGGTTGCCTGTCAGGCCGCCCATTGTACATATCTTTTTGTTTTATCAACTTTGTGTAATTGGTGTGCAGTAAAGTATATTCGATTCTATTATATTCTATTATAAAACGCAATTCCGATAGTGAGAATAAGGTTAGTGAAGGAGATTTTTATAGTTTTAGAAAAACAAATAATCCTATTTGCAATTTAAAACAACTTTCACGTGTTTCTAACATTAGTATCAAGTTTAATTTCAGAATAAAAATATATTTTAAGAAACAGAATTAGTGACCAAACACATCGGAATTAAGACCTCAACAACGGAATAAGTGTTTCTAAGTTGTTCAAATTTTTAGTTATTTACGAATTAAACATATTTTAAGGGACATACCTTTGTTGTACCATGTTTCAAAAGTAAAATTAATAATAATAAATCCTTTAAAAAAAAAGTTGTACCGACTTCAAACAATAGTATCAAAGGCACTATAAACCTAGCAGCAATCGCGGTTGATTTGCTGTCATGTTTTGAAGAGTTCCATTGTCTGTCTCTGAAACTCATCATCAGATCCATATGAAATTTTAATAGGACCATTTCGAAATAAACCTCTTTCGAACAAAAAAAGAATATTTGAAAATCTGTCTATATATGACTGAGTTATATTTAGACAGATTTTCATTCAATTCCTACATAAAAAAAATATAAACATCCGAATTGATAACCTCCTCCTTTTGGAAGTCTGTTTAAAACACTTCTGATCTATTTAGAGAATTCTAAATAAACATACTAAATGTAATTTTTAGTTACAACAAAAATACAGTAATCCGAATAATGTGCACATCCCCTATTTGCGAATACAATCGATACCCTGCTATAATATACCTTTACCTCTAAACTATTTATTTTTATTGCACCTAAGGTCATGTACAAATCATTTCGCAAGTTAAGTTTTAAAGTCGACAGATAAATATGGTATTACTTTCTCATGAGCTCACGCAATTAACACCGTAACGTTTAACCTCAACGAAGATATATTGTTGTTTAAAATAAACCACATTGATGAATGACCAGCGCACGAGATTATCTTGTATCCCTATATTTATTTTCACTCTAAAAAACATTCACTTAAGGGTGATTATAAGGTATCCACCTTTAAAAGTTAAATCGTTTCAGATTTTCTCTGTCCCGAACTCTGCACCTGAATTTATAATAAAAAACACGCAACATCGGCAATTTAAATGACTTGCAATTTATGCGAAGTTCAATTTTGCGCCAATTTCGCGGCTTACATTGTACAATCGGGTTTGTGTTTAAAAGTATTGTACAAAAACGTACGTACACCATAACGTCATAATAACATCGAAAATATGAATAATGATCGAGATTTACAGGTGCATTTAAATTGTTATGCAAAAAAAGATGCGTTCGTATCCGCCATAACGAATATCGTAAAATGATGAATGACTTTACAAATTAAAATGGATTACATTTTACTAACATTTTGTATTAAAGACACTTATCTTTGTTCCTGAGCCTTTGAAATTTCGTTCAGAATATAAACCGATTTAATTTATCAAGAGCTTACCTCTGTAAGAAAGCTGTCCAAATCTCTGATGTCGTATCCAAATTTCCCGTTTGGAGTCCTCTTCTTTCTCCGGTGGCGATGCCGATGTTTTTTCCTAACATACTCTTCAGTGATAGCGCTTGTGTCAGAATAAGTATCTTGCACGTTGGCGAATTCCTCGCACGCGGTTCTAAACCTAAGATTATGATAATATTCGTTCCGGCCTACAACCCTGTCTCTCACGTCCTTAGACTTACACTTTCTATAAAGTTCGTTTTCATTCCGCCTCTGATTGTGATTTTTGTCCAACTCGTTTCCAATTAGTGCAGTTTTTAATCTTTCCTCCGTTTGTATCTTCCCGGTGGTCATTTTTGAATTTTCCAAATTTTCTTTCAACACCCATGTGAGGGATATTTTAGATTTATGGCGTTGCGCCAAGGGTGTCGAGTGCCAGAGACCCATTTCTTTAATTTCTGCGTACTCTACACTCGTGTCGGGATTGTCATCTATTGGAGATGATGATAATTTGCAATCCGCTAGCAAATCTAAAACCTCGCATACTGGAGTGTTAGTCTGAAAATTATAATCAGCACTGTAGCGATTGTACACAATATAAAACAATGATTACTTTTTTTTAATTATCGTACCGTGTTATTTAGTCCTTGATGTTCATTATCCTCAAAACTGTTCACTCGTTCACTATATGGTGGCGGTAATTCGTTTAACGTAATTTCTGGAAGTTAAATAATAAACGATTAAAATCACAATGGACCGTAATTCTTCAACGGATACTACTAATAACGAGATTTATACCATAGTCAGCCAAGCGGATTATTGGGCATAAATAATCAAGTCGCAGTCATAACAATGAAAGTGGGCGAGTGCGCGAAACAATGCCGTCCCGAGGGGATGCGCACTCCCGTACTACGAGCGGCTCCCGTGCGCACGCGCACCTCCGCGCCTCGAGAATCGCGCGCGCAGCCCACCGTCCGCGGGCTCGCGCCCAACACTGTCCGCTCAACTCCGTTCCTCGGTTCCTCGCATTGATACGCTATCGAAATCGCCCTCCTCCTAAAAAATCTCACCACATTCTCACAGTCACAAAGCGGACGCGAAGGTAATGGAAGACGTCGGCTACGCCTCGGGACACGATTCGCAGGCTCGCAGCCGCCACAGACGTTCTGTCGTGAGCGCGTTCGCCCAAGAATACGTTTGTCCGAGCCGAAATCAAATCAATAGTTTAACTAAAAGGGTAGTGGGAGCAACTTGAAAAATGTGGGAGTCACGAGCTACTAATTGTCAGGTGCTAAAAGTCAAACAGTAACTTCTCAACATCATCCTTTTAACACTTCTCACGCTTTGAACGGTTTCAAAGTATAACAAACACACCTGTGTTTATATTTTGTTTAATAGTGTCTGTCAGGTGTACTCTTGGCAACATTCTTCTATTACCATTACGTTCACTCTATCACTTTGGTGACTGTTTCGATGAGAAAACATGTACTCGTTTTCAAATATAACTTAATTTCGCAAAAACACTTAATTAATTCGCGGTTATATTATAACTTAGTTTTAATATATTATATACTTAGAGGAAGTATATAATATATACCTAATTATACTTTCGCTTTAGCATTAGGCACATACCTAATGGTGTTTCCAGGTAGAAAGGAACGAAGAGTAGAACAATAAAAAATCTGTATTTTCTATTTCGATAACAATTATCTAGGACGCATAAACATGGTAACTCATTATTACACATGTCGGGACCATGAATTATGCAATTAAGAATTTCTTTAAGAGAAATTTACCCTAAACAATTAAGGAATTGGGGGTACATGCGTAGGTATAATATTAACCTACATACATACATATATTATACTCGTGTTATAATTACTTCATATTTTTTGTTTACTGATAAAGGTAGGTACGCTATTCTTTTTTTGTACTGTTTTTAACTCTGAAGGGCTATTATAATGTGCCTATATACATCCTGGACACATGTCTGATTTGATTGTCACTAACTTCTTAAATTTCTATTTTCCTACTTCAAAGAAGTTAAAGTCCAATTCCTTAAATGCAAAGAGCGTTGTTGTGATAATTACTTTTTCAGTTATTGATTTCAAGACCTCTTATTTTCGATAAATACCCAAATCATATCTTAGCCTTTTACGAACTTCGTCACGGGCAGTCAATTATACTAATTTTATTGATAAATTATTTAACCATATGACATCAAAAGAAAATTGTTAATCAATAAAGATTGTTACAAAATCATCAATTATTGACCTATAATTGATTTCTTATTGAACAATGTCACCAGTTAGATAGTATTTTCGAAATTATGTAATGACGGTTATATTAATTCCTCGCAGTTTCTAAATTCAAATTTAAATGTCTGCAAGGAAATCACAAGCGGTTATTGTCACTGCCCGAGTCAAGGGGCGTAGAGTGTTTCTGTGTGCCTATTGACTTCCTCATTTGCAAAAGTAAATCTGCAAGTTAAATTTTTGATTCCAGACGTGGGCGCGTTCAACCAAAAATTATAGTCATGAGTTTTATTATGGTAAAAGTATCAACAGTATAAAAGTTCCTGGTTTTTCAAGAACTTTTAAGCATGGGCCATGCTTGGTGACTTGTTGCGGCCGTATTTATTATATTCCGATTTTGATACGGTTAAAAGTTTTTAACAAAAGCCACTTTAGGGAAAATTTTGAAGGGCGTAAAATATTAACCAACTTCTGTTTATATTCTTAAAACATTTCAATTTTTTTTATGTATACCACACTTTCAACAACTTTCTTTGACAATAACTTCGTATGCTGTGTTGAGATTTATTCACATCATCATCATCACAACATCACAACAGCCTTTAATAGTCCACTGCTGGACATAAGCCTCTCCTTAGAAAGAATTTTTTGGCCTACTATACCGCGCTGGCCAGACGGGTTGGTATAGGGTTTGTGTCAAGTTTTCCTTCTTTTTGCAGTGCTGTTGTCCTGCGTTGTTTTGCGCCCTAAGTCGGCTCTTACGACACCCACGGGATGAATTGGGGTAGTGACATTCCATATTCTTAATCCGTCACTACACAGACAATTCGATTTATTAGTTTCTTCTAATTTTTTTTGTTGACAGAACAGGTTTTTAGTCAAATAGTTAATGATCTTGACTACTCATCTATTAATTTCTTGATGCACACGATTGTTTTTGTTTTTTGAGTGGCTTTTATGTACAATATATGTACATACACAGTATTATTATTATTTATCAAAAATACATAAGTATGTTTATAAGTAGGTGTGCCTAGTTTAGCATCAGAGAAGCAGGCATGTGTGAATTGTCTTATTAATATGATTTTTATAAATACCTTGTAGACTATTTAAAAATGTGTTTTTTAATATTCTATTTTGGAGGAGCTTTTGCCCAGTTAAAATAGATAATTTCGTGTCATTAGCACGCGTCACGAATCTCAGTCATGAAATAATAGGCCGTTTTTCGCGGGATCATACACAACAATTGGAATCTTGCTATAACCTATTTTTTTTACAGTTAGCTCATGGTATGTTCATGCCGTGTTATGCGTTTGTGTCGACTATAACATGAACGATGCACGCAATGTGCATATGAGAATCGACGATTTGACAGTACTTCCATTCTAGTTTAGCATAAGAAAGCTACATTTATCTTTGTCGGCTAAACGAGAAGAAGAATACCGTAGTTTAAATCGTTTCTTTAATTTAACGTTCTTGCATTCCTTCCTTATTTTAATTAGTCTAGATTTACGCGCGCCTTTTTTGACGTTTACAGACGTTTTTTTAAAGTTTTGGTAACATTTTTTAATCAATAATTTTTTTCACGGCGATTTCTGTATTATGTATGCGCCATAATTTTAATATATTCAAGTAAAAAGAAATTTAATTGCAAACATGATGTGACGGATGAGCTTTAAGTATTGCCGTGTGCAATTTCAAATATTATACATAATGGTTTGTTATTGCTACTTTCTCTTTTTTTAATAATAATGTTATTCAAAGAGGCTTTAATAGGACAGAGACCTCGTTGGTGATTAATATCACCATATTTTATCGTTACCTCTTTTTACTTCCTTTTCTTTAGGTCATACCAAATGGCCCAATAAAATAATATAAGAAAAAGTTATTAATTTTAAGCATGCGGTTCTCTAGCTAGGTTCTTTAGCTAAAAATAAGGAATTATTATTCGTAGCACTTTATTCCTCAGCTGGAATAACTCTTGGGCTCTTTTTTTGCGTGCAACACGTGCCGCCTCTAGGTACTTCTTAAAATCTGAAGTATTTTTTTTATAGAAGACCTAGGAAATTCTACGTGGATCGGTAAAGATGTCCAGAGCAACCTGTCACAGGATCATTAGGCAAGAGGCAGTGGCACGATCATGTCACATTTCACATAAGGACAGCAAAACTTCTTCGGATTTTGCTTTGGTCACCTCCAGGTGTCATGGGGTAACCAGAAACAGTGCCCAGGTCCTGCCAGGTGGGGTGAGCAGTCCATCCTAAGGTTGTCATTATTCTTGGATCGATATGTACCTATACAGAACAAATTTCTAACATTAAAAAAACTGTTTTCTATATCTAGGTTTTTAAATATTAAATGTCATGAATTATCCAATAAATTAGTATAAAAAATAGTCAATTAAGAGGAAAGGGGCTAAACATATCCTCAATGCGGATCCCTGAAATTTAAATGATCACAATTTTTATTTACCTCGGATGGGGACAATTTTACTGCACTCATTATTTATGAACACTATAAAAGGTGCTGCAGCAATAACATTTGTGCATTTTACATTCCACGAAATTGGAAAGTGATGTAGCAAAGCAGAGGAGGTTGCGTCGCGGGCGTTACTCGGACGCTAATTTCACGGTTTTATTACGTCAAACATTACTGTACCGCTCTCACATAATAATTGTTATTACATACTTGAAGTACCTACATAATTATACAATATGTTACAAAATGTGCATACAACAATTCTAAACATACAACGCCTTTGGACGGTTTCTGGTTCCGCAAGGATGAAAGAAATATACCTTATAATTTATTGGGAGAATGTCGTTTATTACAAGAAATTAATTACTTTTACTGGACCGCCACCCACGAAGTTTCACTTATTTTATGGCAGCCCAATGTTGATATCAATTTTTAAGCTATTGCATAGCTTCTATCGAGGGCCTTGAGCGCGGGGACCGAATCCAGAAATTCCGTAACGAAAAAAAACCTCACGCTAAAAACAAAACAAAAAACAGTACCAAAATCAAATGCTGAACGTCAAAGGAAATTTCGTCAACATAATGCAGAAAAATCTTACATGGATATGTAATTTGATTTAATAATAATATTTTTCATTTATTTATTTAAAAACAAATTGTAATATATGCTTCAATTTTTTTTTAATAAAAGAAAAAAAATTGTTTTCTTATCGGTCACCACGCTCAAAAAGTGTAACTTGAATTAACATCAAAGAAAAATAAATACTGCATAAATAAAATAAATATAAAAAAGTGGGGGGTGTGAGGAGCGAACCACCATCTTTCGCCCCAAGCCAACCTCACCTGCCCGCGGTGCATCCTGCTGAACGACGAACGAGGCTCTGGCGACCGACCGATGGCGGTATATCCATCCCAATAGGCGTAGCTAAATATAACAGGCCGGTGACGGGCAGCAGCGTTACCGGTGCGACAAGCTACGCCCTGCG